TTTATAAGATAGAAATATCAAATCGACAAAATACGATTAATTTATCAATCAAATAGATTTTGCGGCATCACGTTAATGTAATCCAATTTAATGTCAACCGGTGTAATGATAGATTGCATTAACATAATAATGCAAACATTCATTTTTAATCAATCAATCAATCAATCAAACAGACACACACACAGACAGACACGCACACAGACACGTACACAGACAAACACGCACACAGACAGACACGCACACAGACAGACGGAGAGACACACACACAACAACAACAACAACAACTCACCTTTCTGATATCATCTAGATTGTGAATCTCTGGCGACAGACCACCGTGAACGCAGAGGAATTGCTGATTCATGACAGCTGCCAGCGGTAAGCAATCAAACGCATCCATACATGCATCGTACACCTTCTCGGAATATTTTATCTTGCCTATGTACGTGCAGTGAATAACAAACGTACGTGTGTGTGTGTATGCGTGTGTATGTGTGTGTTTGTGTGTGTGTGTTTGTGTGTGTATGTGTGTGTAGATGCGTGTTTCTGCGTGTTTGAGCGTGTATTTATGATGCGTTTAAATATTTTTTTGTGTACAATTCTGTGTCTGAAGCAATGACGACGACGACGATGATAATGACGTCATCAACAACGACAGTGAAAATAAAGAGAAGATGATGACGGCCAAGGTACTGACGAGAATTAAGATGATAGCAATTAAGACAATGATGATGACGACGACGATGATGATGGTGATGATGGTTGCGACGATGACGATGATGACGACGACGATGACGACGGTGGTGATGATGATGGCGGCAACCGACAAGCAAAACATGGACGAGTGCAATGATTTAAAGTTGACTTTAACTAGCGCAATGGGTTTTATTATATTGCCATGTTATATTGCTGGTAGTTTGTGCGCGTGTGTGTGTGATTGAGCGTGTGTTTGTGATTGTTTGTGTGCGTGTATGACTGTAAGTACGTGTGTTTATGACTTTACAGCTAACAAGTCTGTTGCTTTATGTGAGCCACAATAGCAACAATGGTAATTAAAACGATCAATGTTGTTTTAACAGCGAATCTGTCGTCTCGGTATAAACGTTATCAACAAACATTGACAACAACAACAACAACAACAACAACAACAACAACAAAGAACAACAACAATACAATCCCTGTAGATGAGTTCAATGAATGCCTAGAAACCCCGACACCTACAAAAAATTAAACAAAACGAGTAAAAACACGACGAAATACAAACAAACAAACAAACAAAACAAACATGCAAAACAAACAAACAAACATACAAACATACATTCTTGTTTGAAAGTAAAGTACTCCGTAAGGTGTCTACATTCATGATTGCCTCGTAACATGAACAGCGTGTCTGGGTATATGATCTTTAATGCCCACAAGTACAGTACGCACTGATTGATTGGTTAGTTGGTTGGTTGATTGTTTAGTTGGTTGGTTGATTGATTGATTGATTGATTGATTGATTGATTGATTGATTGATTGATTGATTGATTGATTGATCGATCGATCGATCGATCGATCGATTGATTGATTGATCGATCGATCGATTGATCGATTGATTGATTGATCGATCGATTGATTGATTCATCCATTCATTCAGTCTTTCCTTCTTTCTTTCATTCATTCATAGATTAATTGATTCATTCTTTCTTTCTTTCATCCATTCATTAATTCACTCATTCATTCATTCATTTCTCCAATCATTCCTTCACGTGTTCATTCATTCATTCATTCATTCATTCATTCATTCATTCATTCACAA